CGGTGTGGTGTATAGGGGAGCCGTTATATAATGTATTGTACCTACATGTTTTTTTATTTTTACTCAATTACCAGAACTCGTATATCATACTGTATATGTCTTCGTTCTTGTAAAACACACGTTGAAGTGCTCAGCAGGCCGCTCCTAATCGTTTAATGGTGGTTTTATTAACGGACGGAGATAACGACAGCTCCGTGAAGTTAGCCGCACAATGTCAAAATTTTGACTCCAAATTTTGTAAATAATTTGTAAGTCATTTGTAAGTATTTGTAAGCACAATTTGGTAATTTGTAAGTACAGCCGTTTTCAATTATCCTCAAAAGTTTAAATCACGGCTAACTTTCGCGAAACTTGGCCGTTTCGACATTTCAAAGCTTTTGACTACAACAAATCGTCAAGGGCAATTTGTAAGTATTTGTAAGCACGAATTTAGAATTTGTAAGTCATCCCTTCCTTAAATATCCCTGAAAGAAAGTTGGCCGTGCTTTGTCAAGCTTTTCGAACTTTGACTGCGCCAAATCGTCAAGGGCAATTTGTAAGTATTTGTAAGCACGAATTTAGAATTTGTAAGTCATCCCTTCCTTAATTATCCCTGAAAGAAAGTTGGCCGTGCTTTGTCGAGCTTTTCGAACTTTGACTGTTCCAAATCGTCAAGGGCAATTTGTAAGTATTTGTAAGCACGAATTTAGAATTTGTAAGTCATCCCTTCCTTAATTATCCCTGAAAGGAAGTTAGCCGTGCTTTGTCGAGCTTTTCGAACTTTGACTGTGCCTAATCGTCAAGGGCAATTTGTAAGTATTTGTAAGCACGAATTTAGAATTTGTAAGTCATCCCTTCCTTAATTATCCCTGAAAGAAAGTTGTGTTTATCTGTAAGTAAATATCTTATTTTATTAATATGAATAACATGATTATTTATTTTAATAAATACAAATCTCTTACCTGTAATTAAATAAACGACAATTTAAAGTCTATACTTAAAGGTTTTAATAATTATAAAGTTTTATATTAAGTATAATATTATTATATTAGTTTTTATGTTAACCCTTCTTGACCTTATATCAACCTGTTGTAATCATTAGACACAGTGTGGTTGATAACAGCAGACAGCATAATCTTATATGATAACAAATAATAATCAAGGAGTGCATTTTCTTTACATAGATACTCACCAATTTTCACGTAAGTTTTTCTTCGACGTTGAAACCGTAGTTTTAAGTTAAATTGAAGTGTCTGTGTTTTGTTTATCATCAAATATGCGCATGACTACCTTTTTTTCAAGAAACATGAAGGAAAATCCCTTTTTTCTAATATTTTCATGTTTATTATGAATGTTTTTTATACAAATTAAATTTTTTTTTTTGCTCATTATTATCATTTTTAATAATTGTATTATTATTTTATTAATTTAACCACGTATGATTATTATATTATATTAATCATCAACATTAATAATATTAGAATTATTTCATTCTTAATTTCTTGTGTACACAATATAATTAAATGTTAACGGTCTTTAGGTAGGTATAGAAAGAGACCCAGTCTTACCTTTTTACCTGTATAAACCTAAATTGTATCTGATATCATATCATTTTAAACGTTAACTTTAACAAATAATAGTTGTTAAATGGGTACCTACCACTAAACTGTGTAGTGATAAGCCCAGCCCCCCACTTTGGGAAATACTTGGAAATTGAAAATCGTTTCCACGCCAATATTTAGCATGTAATTAGCATAAATTTGCACGACAGACCCCGAAATTCGAACTTGTCTGGTTCGCGCGCAAAACCCGTTCACCTATTTCGTGAAAAAAAAATTAAATATAATAAAAAAATTATATTTGATAAAAAATCTGTAGTTAATTAAAAAACCTATTCCATAAAAAAACTTGATTGAATAAAACAAATCTAACTATAAATAAAAAAGTCATAATAAAAAATTTGATTAAACATAGAATTTTTAAATTTCTATTTAAATTTTTTTTACTAATTATTTTTTTTTTTAATATAATTTTTTCATCGAATAGATGTTTATTATATACAGACTTTTTTAAATAATATAGATTTTTTCAATAATTTTTCGAAAGAATGTAATAATTTTAAATATAATAAGAAATTTAAATTTAATAAAAAATCTATATTCAATGAAAAAAATCTAAACAAAATAGAACAAATAGAAATAGTAATTAAGTAATATTCTTAATAAAAAAAATCTTATATAATAAAAATCTGTTTGATGAAAAAATTATATTTAAAATAAAAAACAATTTGTAAAAAAATCTAATTAGAAATTTAAAAATTCTATATTTAATCAGATTTTTTATTAAGACTTTTTTATTTCTATTTAGATTTATTTTATTCAATCAAGTCTTTTTATGGAATAGGTTTTTTTATTAAATAGAGATTTTTTATCAAATATAATTTTTTATTATATTAATTTTTTTTTAAAACATTTTTTATTTAATTTAGTTTATATTTCTCCATTGATTTTTTGAATTGAAATACAAATTATGAATTTCTCTACCTAAAAAAAATTTATATTTGATAAAAAAAACGTTGATTGAACATAATAAATCAAAAAAAAAAAATTTAAAAAAAAATTATTGAAAATCTAAATAGAATAAAAAAATCTGTATTAATTAAAAAATGTAAATATAATAAAAAAAACTATTTTTGATAAAAAAAAACTATATAATAAAAAAAACTATTTTTGATAAAAAAAAAACTATATAATAAAAAATATTTTATCAAGATATGCTTAATTTTTTCAATCCAATCCAGCTTTTTTATTGAATATTGATTTTTTTATTGAATTAAGATTTTTTCATAATTTGTATTTCAATAAAAAAAGACAAGTAGAATAAAAAAACTATTGTAAAAACACAACATTTAATTTAAAAAAAGCTGTATTTACCTAATAAAAATGTAAATATAATAAAAAAGTCTATTTGTTAAAAAAAACTTTGTTTTAAAAAAAATTTCAATCTAGATTTGTTTAATATTTTTAATTGAATCAACATTTTTATTAAGATTCTTTTTAGATTTGTTATATTCAATCCAGGTTTTTTTTATCTAAAGTAAATCTTCTTCAGTATAGATGATAAAAATAAATAAAGACAACATTGTATTTTTACTATGAGGTGAATTATTTTTTTTTTGAAGATAAGGAAGATCGTGTGAATTTCAAAACCAGGCTTGCCAATAGGTGCGAATTACGTGCTAAATGTCTGCAGAAGAAAAATTGTGAAAATTTTAATTTTTAATGAGGGGGTTAATTTTTACTATGAGGTGATTTTTTTTTCGAGGGGAAGGAAGGCCGTGCGAATTACGTGCTAAATATTTGTATAGTTTGTTTATAGATTTTTTTTTTGGGGGGGGGGGGGCTGCCACTACGTACGTTGGTTTTTGTATGATTGGAATTTTATTTATTAATTCATTATTGTTTCATTTTCATTGGGTATATTTTTATAAATAAATAGATTTTACGAATTAGATTTTTTTATTAAATATACTAGGTTTGTTTAATTACTTGGGCTTTTTATTTTGAATTTTTTTATTGATTTAATATTTTTTATTCAAATAACATTTATAATAAAATAAAATTTATTTTTAAAGTATTGATTTTCTTCTATTAAACTTAGCTTGTTGTTTATAATATTATATTATTATATATTAATGTATTATGCCATTATATAAAACCTAGTATCTAAACAATGGGCAATGGCCCAAGTTGCCACGGGTTAATTAATAAAAAAAAAACCTAAAGAGGAAATTTTTGTTGTATTTTTTAAATATTTTAACAATTGTATAATAAAAACAATGGTAAACCAGTAAATAAAAAAAACCAAACATTTTTTTACACATATAGGTTTTATAAAAACTAATATAATAATATTATACTTAATATAAAACTTTATAATTATTAAAACCTTTAAGTATAGACTTTAAATTGTCGTTTATTTAATTACAGGTAAGAGATTTGTATTTATTAAAATAAATAATCATGTTATTCATATTAATAATATAAGATATTTACTTACAGATAAACACAACTTTCTTTCAGGGATAATTAAGGAAGGGATGACTTACAAATTCTAAATTCGTGCTTACAAATACTTACAAATTGCCCTTGACGATTAGGCACAGTCAAAGTTCGAAAAGCTCGACAAAGCACGGCCAACTTTCTTTCAGGGATAATTAAGGAAGGGATGACTTACAAATTCTAAATTCGTGCTTACAAATACTTACAAATTGCCCTTGACGATTTGGAGCAGTCAAAGTTCGAAAAGCTTGACAAAGCACGGCCAACTTTCTTTCAGGGATATTTAAGGAAGGGATGACTTACAAATTCTAAATTCGTGCTTACAAATACTTACAAATTGCCCTTGACGATTTGTTGTAGTCAAAAGCTTTGAAATGTCGAAACGGCCAAGTTTCGCGAAAGTTAGCCGTGATTTAAACTTTTGAGGATAATTGAAAACGGCTGTACTTACAAATTACCAAATTGTGTTTACAAATACTTACAAATGACTTACAAATTATTTACAAAATTTGGAGTCAAAATTTTGACATTGTGCGGCTAACTTCACGGACCTGATAACGACGTCTCGATGCCTCTCGTCTGGCCCCGTTTCGTGCGGAGGAGACAATATAATGATTGAGAGTGTATATAGAGCCTCATGTAAATTGAGATAAAAACAGGGACGAACGGAAGAAACCAATCTGACAGAACGCAAAGTCCCTATACTTGAACGTCATTCGAGTGGTCGCGCATCATCTCGAGTCCGAAATAAACGTAAAATATTATAATCTTATATAGTGGGATTGAAACGGAATATTATAATGCTTGTATTATAATATTAATATAATGTTATACCACGTAGTTTGAGTTCTTTATATTGTCCCTAATGTCGTAGACGATTTTGCTTTTACTATATTTGCTATGATGTTGTTATTGCTAAATTGAGAAATTTGTTTTTTTTTTATTTCAGAAGATTGAAAAATGATCAACCATCGGATTCCGTTGAAAATACTGCCAACGGTAGTCGTGGCGATTGTCTTCCTAGCTGAAGGATTGTGCCTACCAGCCCATTCGAAAAACATAATATTAGAAGGTACACCAAAAGCGTTAAATAAATAAATGCATTAGTAAAATAATGTGACATAAGATTATAGGAGTTAGGTCGATTGTTTTTTATTCCATTTGTTTTTAAACTTAAATATAATTTTAGTTATTTAAAACGGATATTTAAATCGAAATAATTTTCGTCTGTAGTCGTGGTACAAAATGCTTTTCAGATTATTATTATACACTCGGAAGTTAAGTTAAGCTTTTGAAAAAAAAAAATAGTAACTTGCTCATGATTTGAACTCGAATTCATAGATCATGTTCTATAATAATAACGGTCAGGCGGATTTGAATATTAGTAAAAAAAAATGGTGCATTAGTCACGGTACGTTTTGAGGAAACAGACACACACGCACACACACAAGTTTAACACGTGTAGGATTCATTACGATCGCAGACAAAGTCTCAGACTGTATTGTACTATGTATGTATAATATGTACGGTGGCGTCTAATATCCGTATATCTGTTATTAAAATAATTATTTTACTGCGATCTAAACTGGCGCCGATTCGCGTTATTCGTTGGCAACGGACGATAGTCGTCGTTATTATAATACAGTGGTCGTTGTTGGCTTAATATGATAATACTACAATGCTACATAATAATATTATTGTATGACACAGGGGTCACCAAACGGCGGATGAATTTTATCCGGAGACTCGGGGACGAGAAGAACAAAGTAAAAACAGTTAATATTATACGTTCAAATGTTTTACTGACATCACCAATTTTGATGGCTCAAGAACAATTTTCCCAGATTTCTAATGATAAATGAATCGGTGACCCCTGGACCATTAAACAGTTTCGCAACGAACCGAATTTTAAACAAACATTGTTCGTTTTGCACGGTTGTCGTTCGGTATTCGGAAATCGGCCGAGGAAAATAATAACATTATGCGCAAAAATATCACCTCACGTCCACTTTTCAGTACACACACACACACACACATATACACACGAGAAAAATTATAAAATATATTATAATACTATTAAAAGTGTGCCTTGTACACGATCGCGTGTTTACGTTCCATTATATAAAAATATCCGAACGCCAAAGGTTAGTAGTCCACGATGACCTTTGGAACGTGTCCAGAAACGGGTACGGGATATTGCTGAGCAACCGTTTGATTTTTTACGGTGTTTTTTTATTTATTTTTCTCGGAACGCGACGCAAAGAAACTCGTGTGTTTTTCGGAATCGCGGGAGGGTCGCAGTTTAAAAATACGTTTCGAAACGGTATAGGATTTCGAATTGAAAAAATAAAAAAGTCGTATTCAACTCGGACGTCGCGTATTGCCATATAATAATATTATATACATTCACATAATAATATATTTATAAATTATATTTATAGGTACATTACCCCGACCGAAGCATATATATAGTTATTATAATGTTATGATAATATAACAATATTTTGCATGCTTATATTAACATAATATATACTATCTACGTAGTTCTGAGAAGTATACTATATGGCAATATAGTAATATAATAAGCATATAATAATATATGCACATCTTAAGTGCAACGACTTTTTGCGCATAATTTTAAAGGCGATGTGACTTGATTTTTTATCGTAAAATGTTATTGGGTTGGATTTAATTCAAACCGATTTTGATTACCGCTTTATTTATCGCCATAGAAACGCAAAATATCAAACATAATATTATTTATGATTCCTCAATATTCCTTGCAGTGGAGAAAATATATCAATTAGCATGTTCAATTTTTTTTTAAAAAAAGGTGTCGCTTAAAAATATCGCTGCAAACACGAAAATGTCTCAGGACAACTATTTACGAACGTGTTTACTATAATATTTTAGCATGATACGCCGAATAGATGGGCATGATAGGCATTATTTAATTTCATCTAAATAAGGTGTATAAAAATTAAAAATTATTATAATTCTCTTAAAAATAAATTTTTATTCACTCGGAGTGGGTTCGTTGTATCAACCATGTTTGTTCAGTACCCAACCACAGTGCCTGCGACTGCATGCATGTATAAATATAGAATTAAAATGTTTGAATGTCTGAAAGTTTAAACCTCATTTCTCAAAATATGAACTTCTACAATTTACGTGGATAAAAAAAATATATGCATTCACATAATACCGTTGAACAATACTCGTATAATATATTATTATGTATGTTAATTATTTAGCTTTATAAGTATAATATAACAATATTACAAATTAAATTGACAATACAATAATTAATAGTAATATATAACTAATGAATAGGTATACCTAATGATATTATATTATTATTTCTTATGAAAAATTAACAAATAATTCAGGATCAAAACAATCACGGATACCTAGGTATTATAAATTACTTTATATAGGTATTAAGGTAACAAAATATTATGTTTAAATTAGTCTATAATCAGTTGTATCGTTTTAATTTTAGACGAGGTGAGTACTGTCCCGGCTGTCGAAGGTGACCGGTTAAACATAAAATGCGATTATTCAGAAGCCAATAAGATCTCTAAAGTCCAATGGACCAAAGAGTCAGACGATGAAACTCCGTTCGACTCACCGAGCATATTGTCAAACAAATTGCAATGGTATGTATAGTTTTGCAATAATAATTTACTCAAACGTTTACTTATTGGTTTATTGTCCACCCCGATTCCACAGGTTGCGTTTCAAGAACGTGAAGCACTCCGATCACGGACGATATTCTTGCTTGATCAGTGGTTTTACCGAGAACGGAATGTTTTCCAAATGGCGTAATTTTACATTGATAACGTACAAAAGGTCGGAAGTTACCGGTAATGGAAAATCTATGAAATTGACATCGCCTCTGAGCCTTTCACACCGAAAGGAGGGAGCCAAACCGAAATTTATCAACAGACTTTTCATGGATAACAACGTGGCGTTGTTAGTAGGCGACATTCTAACTCTGAGTTGTCCCTTCGAGAGTAAGATATTCATATAATATTTTTTTAAGCTATAGAACACAACCAACTAAAGATATTTATCATATCTGCAGTATCGTTTTTCTTTTCTATATAATATGTTTAGTAAATGTTGACGATATCAACGGAGTTATTATAGTAATTATTGCTTGTGCTTTGTCTGACATAAATATACGGAGAAAATAATTTTAGCATACATTGATATCTTTGTGATGAGAAACATATTACCTATTACATATTATTATATGAAGTTATGTTTGTTAAAATTTAAAACTAATGGCTGGATATACTTTTAAATTGTAGGTACATCAGATGTAGTGTTTTCTTGGTATAAAAACGATTCATTACTCGTCGAAGGGGATGCAGACGTTAATAATTACACTTCGAGTCAAGTAAAATTGTCAGACGCGGGAAATTACACTTGCGTGGTGAAAAACGAGTTCGGTTCTATCCAACATAAATTCAATGTGGATGTTTACGGTAAGGACGATTACAATTATTAAATTGGTGTGCCAGTTTTTTTCCGATTTGATTTAATAGGTAAAAATGTATAATTGATTTACAGAGGACCAAAACAAATTGCCTCTCCTGGTCGAATATCCACACAATTTGACTTTGAAGCCTGGGGACACTGCACGGTTTTCTTGCAAAACTTTTGATCAATTGCATACAAAAGTTGACTGGTACTTTTTGAATGGTACAAATCCACGGGACATCGAGACCGAGGACCTTTTACTATCTACAAAGATGGTCAACAGCCACAACGTGAGATTCTCATTATTTAGTTATTACTATAATTGTCGAAAAGTTATATTAATCTTAATTTATTATTTGACAGCAATAAATCGCATCATATTCTTAAATTTTATTTTAAAAATTAGTATTAATAGTTATTGCTTTTCATTATATTATACTGCGGTAACTAATACTAAAAAAGGTGGGCAAGTGGGTGTCGCTCTGCTGTACAGTAGGTTACAAGTGGGTCACTGTATAATGGATGGTATTAAATTTGAATTCAATGATATAATATCATTGTATAAGAAAAACGATTCTGAGCGGTGACGGTATGTCAGTCTATGTATCAGACATATTATATACATATTTATGGTATTAAACAAAAAATTGACCTATAATAGGTACCTATAATAAATTCCAAATTAATCATATCACAATATCCATTAGATACTTATAACGCGTTATACATCAACAAAAACAGTGATACTATCATAGATATATAATAGTACACTTTAGAAGTTTCAAGTACCCACGAATAATATTATTCAATCACAACAAAATAACTAAAATAGTTATTCTAGGTTTTTTAATATGTAATTTCGTCCAAATTTGAATTTAAAATGTCTGTAAAAAATAAGTGTGTTCATATATTTAGATTTTTTGGTTATAGTATGAACTGTTTATGAGAACCTTTGTGTTGAATTTGAAAAAAAAAAAACTGAACATTTTATAATTTATTAATTGCAATGATTGATAATTTTCGAGATTTTGATAAATTTTGTCAAAATTTGATCTTTAAATGCTTATAAAAAAAAACTGTGTCTATGTATTTTTAATATTTTTCAACTGCTATTGTAACAATATATCAGGAGCCTTGTATTAAATTTTTACACTTTTTGGCCCAACAGATAAAACTTTATTGATATTTATAGAAAGAAAAACTAAAAAAAATTGAAAGCTGTAAATGTCCATAAACAGCTCAAAAAGAGTCAAAATATTTTCAAAATTGTATGGTGTATAGAAAATGCTAATTTAAACATTCAGTGAAATTTTCATGTATCTACAGTTGTTCGTTTTTGAATTACAACAAAATAAGGAAATCGCTACATGAGTAATCGAGTGAAAATCCAATGTTGTAAAAATTTGAATTTCAAAGGCTCATAAAAATTTAATTTGACTGTCCGGTAGAGATTTTTTTATTGATAAAGGTAGATAATCTTATAAGGAATCTTTTGTTTCATTTTAAAATCTTAGATTTAAAAAGAAAAATTTTTACGAATTCTTAACTCAAAATAATTTGCTAATTTTCGTGAATTTTCCATATTTTGTCAATTTTTGAACTTTAAATGCTTATAAAAAAAAATTGTGACTAAGGATTTTTAATATTTTTCATCTGCCTTTGAAACAACATATTAGGAGCCTTCTATTAAATTTTCAAGCTTTCGCAATCAATAAATAAAATTTTATTGATATTTTTAGAAAAAAAACTAAAAAAAAATGGAAAATGAAAATGTCCCTAAACAGTTCAAAATAAATCAAAATATTTTGAAAATGTTATCGTGTATAGAAAATGCAAATATAAACAACCAGTGAAAATTTCATGTATATACATTCATTTGTTTTAGAGTTACACCAATAACCAAAATCGATTTTTTGGAAAACCAATTTTGCGTAAAAATTCCCGTTTTTCCTTAATTTTTATGTTGTTTTTCCCGGCGCTTGTGAAAACTACTGGGAAATTTATACTTTTGACCCCCCAAAGTAACAACTAGATTCACTTTCCTACCAGAAAAGCTACTGATGAAGAAAATCCAAGCACTTTTACTGTCCCAAAACGTGATGACAGACACAAAAAAAAATATAAAAATATAAAAATATAAAAATATAAAAATATAAAAATATAAAAATATAAAAAAAACACACATCATTGTAAAACCAATACATTCATCGCTCCGCTCAGAATCTAAAATGTATATGCAGTTAATAATACGTTAACTTTTTTAGAAATCGTTTATACTTAATACTTTCAAAGACATTTAAAATGTCTTGATTTGTAGATATAAATATAAATATATTTTTTTTACAGGTTAAGTTGTTTAATGGTGTATTAATACTCGAAGGCGTCACAATTGATGACGTTGGATGGTATGTTTGTTATACAAACGGATCTAAAACGCGTGTAATGACTGGTGCTAAATTGGATGTGGACAAAAGTTTGAGTACGAAGAATCAGTTTATTAATTTACATCGACTTATGTCACTAAGATAAAATCGTAAAATTATTGAACTTTTTTATTTTAATTTTAGTTAATGATGCAAATGACCAAGACTCTGGAATCGAAGTAGAAGATGGGGAAATTATCGACAGTACAAGAAAAATCGGTTTTTTCAATGCAACAGAAAATTCCACTGCTCCTAAATTCACAAAACTTGATAGCATGCACAGAGTGATCGCAAAGCCCGCAGGAAATATGTTGAAATTGAAATGTGTAGCTGAAGGTAAATATCAAGTTTTTGAACTAACGAAAGTGCGGTAGTGGTTAAAAATTAAAACTGTCCAACATTAACAAATTAAATATATTGTGTTTTTACGATTTAATATTTATTCATTTACGGTCTATATTTTACATAGTCGTATGTTATTATAATGGCAATCGTTGAATAATTGTATAAATGTTGTCGTGTTTACAGGTAATCCTTTACCGAACGTAACATGGTACAAAGACGGAGTCACCCCTCCTCAACGCCAACTGGGTGTAGCCCGGTACACACAATGGGCCATCATACTGGAAGATTTGGTAACGACCGACTCCGGTAATTACACGTGCAAAGTGACCAACGAGAACGGATGTATTGATTTCACTTATAAGGTCGAAATAATAGGTAAGCAAACCGATTATCGTCGTATAGTATAATATCGTTTGATATAACATAATATTATAACATTAAAATGATATTGCAATTTAAAAAAAAAAAAAAACGAAATATTGAAATTAATTTTACGAAATCAACCCTAAAATAAAAACAGAAAGATTTCCGCATAAGCCCTACATTAAAGAAGGGCAGCCTCATAACGTCACCACGCTGATACACACTAACGTATCGTTTGAATGTACTCCGTTGGCCGATCTCGAACCTTACATGCGATGGTTCTATCATAACGCCAGTGTCGGGAACGTCAACGAAGAAAATCTAGAAAACGGCACTGTCATACAGGTACCGAAGCCAAACTTTTTGGAAGTCGGTGGCATGCTAAGGTGGTGTTTTTGCGGGCGGTTTTGGAGCTTATTTATTATTATATTAATTATTATGTATATAAAAATAAATGTATAATAATATATATATTATATACAATTCGGAGCGTGCATATTTTGATTTTTGGGGACGGAAGCTACATTATATTATAATGATCGTAAAAACGCGTCACGTGCACAAAATTGTTTAACGCGTGTTTACCTGTATTTTGTTTTTATTATTTTAGAGCGGTTACACCATCGTCCGGTGTTTACGGAAGCGCCTCACAACCTTACTTTGGTGTTGGGTGGTTCTGGTTCCTTGGCGTGCAAGGTGTTGTCGGACTTGCATCCGTACATCGGATGGTATATTGGGGAAATCACGGTGGAGAATACTGAAAACTTAAACTTAACAACAATGGTGAAGGTCGAGGTACGCTTGGGAAACAACAAAATTGAGCTTTTCGGTTAACTAACACGCTTTACGCTTATATTATAATAATATATTAAATAGTAATAACCGTCAACCGTTCGCAGTAATGGTGGTTTTTGCTCGCTTTATTCGTATTGCCGGGTCTTAAAGAGATATAATATTATAATATATATCCATAAAGAATATCCACGTAATATTCGTTATTATTGTGTGAATGAATCGCGTCTGACTTTTCACGTCTATTGCAGAACGGAGCTCCCAGCGAAGGGAACCCGGAATTATTGCAACTGTCCAACGTGACGCATTTGGACGAAGGGTGGTATACATGCGTGGCCGGTAACAGTCTGGGAATGAGCTACGCTAGTGCCTATTTGAAAGTGGTCGACGGTAAGCAATCGGGGAAAATCAAAATATTATTAATATATTATACTCTGCATGTAACTTGATTTAATATGCGACGACAATATTTCAGAGTTGGAAGATCCGATAAAAATCAAAGCTTTTCAATTGCAAACGTACCAATTGGCTGCTCTGGGCATTAGCTTCGTACTGGTCATTTTCGTGTGCGTCATAATGCTGGTGTGCAGTCAGAGGAAGAGGGAAAAATTGAAGGAGTTGGTGGCTAGAGAATCGGCTAGAAACGCAATGATCACTCAATGGACCAAGAAAATAATCATCGAAAAGCAACAGATGGCCGATGCCAGCGAACCATTGGTGAGTTGAATTTTATACTTACAATATTAGCTACCTATGTACAAACATGTTTTTTTTTAAATAAATTGTATACGATAATATCGAATTAATTTTATATTTCAGTTGATGCCTGTAGTGAAAATCGAAAAACAAAAAAGTAAATATACAAAACTTGACCAGGCGTGCATGTCCGAATACGAGCTGCCTCTCGATCCTTGTTGGGAATTTTCAAGGGACAATCTATCACTAGGTAAAACTCTGGGCGAAGGAGCATTCGGTAAAGTCTTGCGTGGGGAAGCCGATGGAATTTTGTGTGAAAATGTAATGCACACGGTGGCGGTAAAAATGTTGAAAGGTAATTTTTATCTTTTTAAAACGTCCAATTTTCCGGTTCCTATATTTAAAATATAAGCTTTTAATTTACTAATTTAATTTTCGATTCATGCAGACGGACACACTGATACCGAAATGATGGATTTAGTATCGGAAATGGAAATGATGAAGATGATCGGTAAACATGTGAACATCATAAATCTATTGGGTTGTTGTACCCAAGACGGACCTTTGTATGTGTTGGTGGAATTTGCATTACACGGTAATCTCAGGGATTTCTTGAGACAACACAGGCCATCTTCAGGCTACGAACCGGCTATCGGATCAAACCTCAAAGACACCTTAACGCAAAAGGATTTAGTATCGTTTGCGTATCAAGTTGCTAGAGGAATGGAGTATTTGGCGTCTAGAAAGGTGAGTCACATCTTTTAACTGACAGTCGGTAATAAAATATAAATAATACTATATAGTTTCTTAAGTCAAAAAGAATCTTGAAATATTATTTTTAAAAAAATGTATGTACACAATTACGTGAAATATACTTATTAAATAAAAGTTATACTGCTTATTATAATATTAATCAATTTTTTCTAACGTAAAGTGTTTTGTTATTTTTCTTGTAGTGTATTCATAGAGATTTGGCAGCAAGAAATGTCTTGGTAAGCGACGACTTCGTAATGAAAATTGCAGACTTTGGCCTAGCTAGAGACATTCAAAATCAAGAATATTACAGAAAAACTACCGATGGAAGACTCCCGGTGAAATGGATGGCACCAGAAGCTTTATTCCACAGAATATACACAAATCAATCTGATGTGTAAGTTATAAAAAAATCTAATAAAAAAAAAAAATGTATATTTATCAACAGATTGTGAGAAAAAAAAACTTACGTTTGTTTTTTCGTTTGAATTCATAACATATAAAATAAATATGTACCTATTGTACCCAGTGCCGAAATTACCAGAGGGGGGGCAGGGCCACGCCTGGCTAAAAGGGCACTATGAGATGAATTTTAGGGCTCAATTCCTGTGATTGGATACCTTCTGTATTAGTCTAGATTCAAGAATAATAAAAATTATAAAAATTAAAAAACATAAAATGTTTTAAATCTATTTAATATTTTGTTAACAATTTCTTATCGATTTTATAGTTGTACGATATACGATATTTATTTTCTTATCGGTTTTATAATCAATTTTTGATTTCTCTGAAATTCGATAATATTATGTGGCCATGACGGTAATCAGAAAAAAAAGTACAGAAAAAAATTAATTAAAATAAATCAACATTTAAGTATAAATATGTTAAAATTGTAATGAAAAATAAATTTAGAGTATAAAGTTACATAAAAAATATAAGGGAGCTTACATATCTATAAACTATATAGTGTATATTATATTTTAATATATATATTTAATTTTCAAGTTCCTTAATGAAGATCATATTTTTTGCTTTTGCTATAATTTAGTAATTTACTATTTAGTTTTAGTGTTATGATAATATGGTATATATATCAAAATGTATAGATAAATATGAAAAGTGTCATACTATAAATTATTCATCATAAATTGAAAGGTAATAAGCAGAGGTAATTTAAAAAAAAATTTTAGTTTGTTATAATAGGAATTCATTTTGGATGGTTTTCAAATATAGTGACTAATAAATATATACGAAATTACTATAGATACTTATAATTTGAACTTTGATATGGAAAATTACATAAAAACAAACGTTTTTCGGTATATAATATCAGGTTATACGTATACCTATAAACAGGCCTTTTTAACAGCCGTAAGTCATAACATAAGAAAGAGTTACCTAAAGTAGGTAACTAATTATAATATTACATTTTTATAGCATTATTATTATAACTATATAGGTGCAATAATTGTATTTATTATTGACTATTGAATTACATTTTATTATTTTATAGACTTCTATTAAATTAAATTTTATTATATTTTAATATGTTATTTAAGTAAGTACTTAACATTTTTTTATGATATTATATGATGTTTTATGTAACTTTAATGTATTTTTCAATACACTTATAACATATTTATAATTCAATTTTGATGTATTTTCATTAATTTTTATAGGGACTTTTTTTTCCTAGGGTGGGACTTTTTTTACCGAGACTTTTTTTCCGCGATTCAGCCATGACATTGGTGATTGTACTGTAGTGTTTTATAACCATGGTTAAAGCAAGAATATGTTTAATCTATTCTGTGGTTAAGGTATTTAATATGAACACTGATGTAAACAAATTCGAGAAATCATCCTACGATACATCACGGTTATAGTATAATTGTGGTAGGGTTGAAAGCATTTTATTACAGGAGGGTGGTAATATGATGTACGGACAATTGGGGCACTAAAACTTCTGCTGCACTGCCAAAAGTCTTAGTTGTGGCACTGATTGTACCTAGGTATTAATATAATGAATAGGTATCTACTATTTTAAATGGTCCATAAATTACGACGGAGAAGTCGTCGTATAACACTACAGTATATATATCATTATAAGATTATTCACATAATTTACAAAATTATAGATTTGTTATTTTACGTTGTTAATGACATGATGGTTGATGAAAATATGAATGATAATGTAAACATATTGTAATAATTTTTTTTTTGTTTATATACAAAAATATAGATGGTCTTACGGAGTGCTGTTGTGGGAAATCATGACCTTAGGAGGTACGCCTTATCCTTCCGTGCCCAACATGGAGCAGTTGTTCAATTTGCTACAGAGTGGACATCGTATGGAGAAACCATCTTGTTGTTCCCTGGAAATGTGAGTTTGCGCATACCTTCTGTTATTATAAATATTTAAACCGCTGAATTAGCTCGAATTCAATTTGTTCCCAAACCAATTTGATGGGATCATCAAATAAAAATGTCAATCCAAGAACCTATAGGGTCAACGTATAATAGAATAAATATAAAACTATATTGGTATCGACTATTTGCAACGGTAATATCGATATTTTGGACCATCGCCGTTCTGCCTACCTTATACCCACACATATTCTGTTTTAGGGAAGTTAATTTTATTTTTGGTAATTAAATTACATTATAAAAATGGTAATTAAATTATTCTTAAGTTACTGTTTTTAATTTGATCAAGTTACATAACCTTTGTGTTAAAAAAGTATCTTCATTACGATCAAAGTTACTTTTTATTGTTTTGTTCAAAAACATCAGTACCTTGAGCTTATAATATGAATTTAAATATATTATTTATTACAATATGAATTGTTGGTACACTAATTTTGCAATAGTAAAATATTTGAAAGAGGATTCGATTTAAAAATTCACACTTTTTTTGTCAAATAACTATTACAAAAATGTCAAATGTATATACCTACTGTCAGAAAATTGTACTTATACTCCTTTTCAAAAGAGAATATACCCCTTTTGAGCATGTTGAATGATTCGATTGGTGCATCGAGAACCACATGATCACACTAAAAATGGGAAATTGGTGGGGAATGCGCGCCGCCGGACATAAATTGGTCGCTGACCGGTATATTGTCTTTTGAAAAGGAGTATAGGTATATGATAAATGATAATATAATAGATATTTATTATTTACATATTATATTATCAAGTGGTTCTTAAAATATATTTAAAAAAAATTAGTAATGTAGTAATTCTACTATGGGTACAAAAAAGTAACTTAAATTATGTACCTATAAGTCACTTACAATACCTAGAACGTAATTTACCTTGAAATTATATCTTAAAAAGTAATTTCGTCACAACAACTTTTAACTCAAGTCGAGTTACTCCTCGACTCGCTGTACTGCGTGCACACAATATTACTATAACTATATACAAACATTTGCGGTACCTACCTAAAGAATGTTATTAACTCGGTTGTCGATCGCGTGTGTTCCATCACAGATACATGATAATGCGGGACTGTTGGAGTTACCATCCGAACGAGAGGCCCATGTTCGACGAGCTGGTGGAGAGTCTCGATCAGATACTGTCGGTGACGGCCAACCAGGAGTACGTGGACTTCGGACTGCCTCAGCTGGACACGCCACCCACCAGTCAGGAGTCGTTCGAAGAAAACGTCCTGGTAAATTTCGCCGTGTGATTTCGCGTTCGTTTCCCCACGTCGGATGTCTCATTGTACCGGAAGTGGTATCCGAGTGCGTCCCCCGCAGGTCCGGCGGACGACAGTTTCCGGAGATCTCGGGACAGAGAGCCGCATCAGTATTTTCCCACGACTACTATATTGTATTATTATATTATTGTAACGTGACGTGTGACGTCCCGTGGATTTTCACATTGTTTTCGCCTAAACGATAATGACCAGTACATATAACATTATTTATTCTTATCACTATTATAATTATGAATATTGTTAGGTAGGTATACTATTATTATTTTTAATGATAATAATAATTACTGATTTGGAATACATGTTGTTATAGGTTTTTGTATAAGACAAATATTATTGTGTACTGGATTTTAATTATTTAATTGTTTGTAAAATACTAGTTTTGTTTTATCGTTATATATTATTGCGTACGTTTTTGTGTTTGAGTTTAAACCACGGTTGGAAATTAGAAAAGAATTGGACGGTATGCGATTATAGCGAATGGCTCGTCAAGACTGAATATCGTATGGAATCAAGACTTAATAACATAATAATATTTCCACAGATTGGAAAGATAATCAAATAACTCTATTTTTATTATAAAACGTATCGACTATATTATTGTATTTTTTTTTTTTTTTAAACGTATGTATAATATTTTAATCGTGATTATATTCATTAAACAAAAATAAAATATAATTTGAACTCGATCATAAGAGACTTCTAGTCAAGTGAGGTATAAATCGCCAACCTGCTGTATAGTATAATAATGTAATTGCGTATTTTCTCAACCACGCGTATAAGATTCAAAAAATGTATTTTGATTTATTCATCACAATAACGGTAAATAGCATTGTGCATTGTTTATCATATATTTACTTTTGTATGTAAAATAGGTGTCCAAGACGTTTTAAATTTTTTTTTGCACTGCTATTAAAAATACCAGTCGAACGTGGTGGCCTGCCATCAGGCATTATTTGGCAAATGTTAATAATGCCTAATTATTGTATCTCCCATCCGTCTATTTTTTATTTGTAATCTTCGGTACCTAGCAGTAATATTAAAGTAACTAGTGTAATAATATTATGCAATATACCTATGTTGTTATTGTAAGATAGATTGTAAATATAAACTATTTTTTATTTTCAATATATTTAATTATTTATATTTTATCGTATAAGTATTTTTTAGTTTTAAAGTAGGTGCTGGCTACAGTAATAATGTCGTTAAAATAGTATTTATATACTAATCACTTTAAATATGTACTAAATAATATTAAAATATGTTAAGTAAATAAATAATTATGAGAATATTGTGTGACAATTACTATAAAATATGTAATATAATCTATTATTTAATACAAATATACATTTTAAAATCTTTTAAGTTACAGATTTTAAGACGGGAATTCTTTGTTCGTCCAAAAATCGTTACATTTTTACGAATTTAATTATCGCTTCAACCTACACTTTCATAAAGGATATTTTATGTAACATCTCTTAAAAAAATTAAGTTTTTTAGTTACCATGTTCAGTAACTGTTATGTAACGATAGAAATAATAATTACAAACGCAATTTTGATACAATACATATTAATACAATACAACTGGATGTAGATCAAACAATTTTTGATGAACACTTCTGGCGCGTGGCGGTATTTCCGATCAGGGACGACGACAATACCATGATATTATTATCTTCTGAAATTCTAAATAAAATCTTGGTAAATAAATATAGGATAAATGCTGTTATATACTAAATATTTTTGCTGTACATAATAAATATTCGAAAAAAAACCCCAAACATCGGAATATATTATTATGGGAAATGTATAACGTCGAGTCTCACGCGTTGATAGTGTACCTGAATTGCCTATATAATGCGCCACGTAACATAATTTTATTATTGAAATATTGAACAGAAGGGTTAGGTTAAAACCTAATTAGGCCTAACCTATACTAGATGACAATATATTATTTTTAATTTTTGATTTTGACAATGTTATATGTTAGGTAATATAATATGTTTCCAATAGGTTTGGCACAAGTATAAAAAATATATTTATTGTGATATGGTACAAAACATCGAACTGAGTTCGAGGTAAACTCATCGACCTTTAAGGTGTTCATAACAATAAGTAATAACCTGTATTAAAGCTGATTATCATTAAATAAACAGTAATATTATACGTTTTAATGTACAATGATGCCACCTTATCTCATCTAATATGTCATTATATTATTATAATAACATATTTTACAGTAGAGTAAGTAATACGATTATCTGAATATCTGCTTTGAGTGGCTGAGTGTGATTTCTATATTTTACGCACATTTACATAGCAAGAATTCGTACTGGATTCATACTAAAGGTCATTGATTATAACCAATATAATATTATGTATAATTGTTTCGTTATGTGCATGTAAAGATGAAAGATTGAGACATAAGTTTCACAAGCGACACGAGTACTACTAAATTTCTGTTTCTTACCCATATTGTGTATATGAACGTGATTTATAAAAATGATGTTTCGTGAAATACTGAAATGGATACAATTTCTATCCGTTTCGAGAAACGGATAAGAGCGTAAAATAGATGTTACATTTAGAATATTTATTACATTAACTTAGATAATTGTTAACGTTTATTAATTATATTTTTGGACAATGCCGTCTGATTATAATTACATAAATACAATAACTATTGGATATTATGTAAAAAAAAAAATATTATATAAATACTGTTAAGTACCTACCAATATAGGTCACTAATAGTAATATAAGTATACATATTTTCAAACAGATTAGGAACCCAATGGTATTGATTCAAATTAATGGGTAATTTTAAAAATATCCAAACAACTAACTGGATTGTTTCAGTTTGATTTGATTTGTGTTTATGTTAATTTTTTGCTTATTTCCTTCCATACTGTGACCGATGCCATAGAACAGATAAATCAATAATCCTGTAAACATCAAGAGAATGAAAAATTTTAAGTAAACATTTAGAATAAAGAAAAATATAACAAAGAGTTTTTGAAAAATCAAATTATATCAATTATAATCATTATTTTCATGGATATGAAAACTAAAACTACGAAACAAATATCTAAGGCACAAAGGGACAAATGTAAATTGTGCCCTCTGTTACCTTTTTTGTTGTAAACTTTGTCTGGAACTTTTTGGTAATAACAGAGGTTAATTTTAAGCTTGTCTCGGAAATTTTAGTTAATAAAATAAGTAGATTGTAATTCGGCTTTTGTAATTGAATCCTCATTTGAGGCCTACAGCACCCAATTCGTTACAAAAGTAGTCAGAATCTAAAACTAGCCACAATAATCACAATATTTTAATAGTTGACGTGAAATTTGCTCTATAAAAACATGCAATGTATTACGGACTTTCACGAGTTTCGCACAAAAAAGGTTTTACAGCATTGGACATACTATTTGGCTAAAAATGAAGCTATAATAAGATGAAATTACCACATATGAGCCACACGGTGAAACTTATCCAAGTCTTGTACTCTAGTTCCATCATCAGGTAAACATTTAGTACAATGCTCAAACATGGTATGATGGGAACCAAAGGTACCTAAAAAAAAAAAAAATAAATCGAATTAAACCTAAATATGAAAATTCATCTATAGTTACAATAATTGTTTGTATATTTTTCTATCAAACATACTCATACCTTGAACGATAGATCTTCCACAGCTGTGGGAAGTCTGCTCAGCATGAACAACGTAACCAACAACACCAAAATTGATATTATATTTATTATCATGAGTACGTTCCTAGTGTTTCCATGATGTGATTCCATGTTCGCCAAGCTTATTCCAAACACAAACGTACATACACCTATATTGAAATACAGTTATTGTAACCCAACTTTGTGCATTTTTGCTATCTATACCGACACCCCACACTTATGTCATGGTCCACCTACCAGGTGTTGTGCTGTGTGTGTGCACGAACTCTGGGACAATCCTAAAAGTTCCGACTTTAATATTATAATTTATAATGTATCATAATATATTTTGTTATAGCTTTCCGCGATGTGACATGGAGACCATGGGGTAATACACCAGAGTATCCTTCCCGCAGTGAGCTCCGTCGGCGGTCAAGATGCAGGGTAACCGCTGCGGAGGCGCGTATACCTTCATCGAGGAATGTACATTATTATATATTTATTTGTAAGCCTTGGCCGGAATTATTAATTATTTACAGTAATTTGTGTGTACATATTATTTTGGCGGTAATTGTCCGTTTGTGTCCACAGGACCGACGATGACCCTTTATGAGGTTCCCTCCAAAATTGTTGTTTATCATATTTATATTTTTACACTGATGCGGTATTGTATCGGCAAACGCCTTGGTTTGGTAATTTCCCGATCGTGTCCACAGGACCAACGTCCTCTTTTGAGGTTCTCTTTTATATATTTAAAGGATAACCAATACTTATATAGTTACTGGCTACTTTTGAGTTTTGGTCTAGGGAGAAAAATTAAATAGAAGCCCATACATTTTTTTAGACTTACTATAATTAGGAAAGAGTTCTATATTAAAATGGTTAAATTTAAGAAAGAGCCCGAAAATGGTAACCTGCATTATAAATACGAATGGGGGCCGGAATGATACCTGGTTTATAGCACCCTGGGATAGCCCACTCCTGTATAGTTTATTACGGGGCGACTTAAGCTCCCGATGAAATTTTTTATGTTTTGGTGTTAACTTTTCCTAGTATTGGAGTTTTACTCCAGTTGGCTTTCTCCACAAACTATAATAAACCTTCCCCAGTTATTTTAAATTAACCACTAGTTTTTTTTTTTTTTAACTCCTTTCGTCTTTCGAAATATTTTTATATACATTTTTTTTATTATCTAGGAATTACAGTGATCAACCTAGCTATAGTATTTAAAATAACTAATATGATAATACACATATGAAAGCGTGTAGATAGGTACGGGAAAAAGTAGGTGCACTTATTTTGA